AAACTGAACGGTGAGGCTTGTTTATTTCAAAACAATTTCCTTACTTGGCTGCTAGTCCAGACAGGGTTCTAGAGGATAGGAGTGCATTAGTCGAAATTAAATGCCCTTCAAAATCGCAAGATTTGTTTGCCGAAGAAGCGGTTAGAAAAAAAATAATCAAATTTTGTACATTGACAGAGAGAGAATTGAAACTAAAAAAAACATGATTACTACTTTCAAGTCCAATGCTTGTTACGGGTATTTCACAAGTTTATTTTGTTGTATGGACACTCAAAGAAATAAATATAGAAAAAATTTATAAAGACGAAGAAATATATGTAAAAAGATGGCAGATAAACTTGGCAGATTTTACTTTGGCGCATTATTGCCCGAAATAATTGATTCAAGAAGAAAGAGGAACCTGCCTTTGCCAGAGATTTTTTTAAAATAAATAAAATTTGTTTCAATTTTTTTATGTACTTTAATAATTTATTAGGAGTACATTTTTCATCACCAAGACTTGCATATTTTTATTATAAATATATTTTAAAATGATCTCTCGGCAAATGAAATCATATACGAGCACTTTTTTCGAGTAAACAATGAAGGGAGAAGTTACTAGGCGTAGGGCTTTTTTAAAACACCTCCTTTCTGGGATAAGTAGTAGATACACTTAGCTACTTATACGTGTTAAACGAAAGCTGTATTTTATATATTTTTTATTATTATTATAAATATGTTTATTAGTTTAATTAATTAACAAAGCAAAATATATATTAACAATAATATTACAATGAATTTTTAGTAATCATGTGTATTGAATTCAGGATCCTGACTGGAGTAAAAATATTATAGTTCCCCAGTTTTAATTCGGTTTTATAATAGTACCTCATTGCGTAAAATTTAATTTCCTTAACAACAGATTACTACGGCCGGTCCTGGCGGCTTGTTATAAAACTGAGTTCCTTGCCATAAATTAGAAAAATCAGCCGAGAACTCTAACAATCAGCTTATGGTAGAGCAGGCGATAAATCCAAAAGCGTAGTCAATATTCAAGTTTATTATCCTGGAGGAAATTCTATATTCAAGTGTAAATAAATATTTCTGTACCTGCGAGCGCAAAGTGCGTAACTCCAAATTGTCATTTTCAGTGAGAGCAATTATTTGTGGCTCGTTTTACATACCAGACAAATTATTAGCTTATTCTAAATATATAATACACAATATTGAATGTAAACAAATCAAAATTGTAAATACCTGAATTAGACAAAAAAGCGTCAACATTTTTTAGCAAAAAAAAATCCATTATCCAATTTTATGTAAAAATGGAGTTCTGCACTTTACGCTCTCAGGTACAGATTTAAGAATTGTTATAGCTTACTCACTAAAAGCACTTCTCCACATCGCTTTAATAAATGTTGTAAAATAAATCATGAAGTTATACCTTTCTACTTGCACGTATGTGCAACTGGGGTGTGAACTAACAGATATTTATTATATATTTCTTTCAGTTTCGGGATTTCTCAATATTTCGATTTTTTGATTTCTCGATTTTTGGACTCCTGGATTTTTTGATTTCTCGATTTTTTACTTTTTGGATTTTCAATTTTTAGATTTAACGTTTTGAATTTTTTTACTATTTTAAACTTCGATTCCTCAATTTTTCAATTCTGAACTTATAAGTTTTTCGATTTCTCGAGTTTTCAGTTCTTCTTTATCTCAATTTTTCGATTTACAAATTATTCTTGTTTAAAATTTTTTCGATTTTTCAATTTTTTGATTTCTCAATTTATCGAATTCAGATGATGTGATGTTTTGATTGATCAATTTCTCGATCCTCTGATTTTTCGATTTCCCGAATTTTTGATTTTTCACTTCTTCAGTATTTCTATTTTTCAATTTTCAGTTTTCCGATTTCTGAAGTAATCTTTTTTTTATTTTCCCATTTCTCCACTTCCCAAAGTTTCTATTTTTCTCTTCTTCAGTTCTTCAATTGTTCGGTTTTCCAGGTTTGTGATTTTTAAATTTTCCGATTTATTAAGCTTACAGTTTTTCGACTTTGCTTTTTTAGTTTTTCGAAGTCTCAATTTTCCGACTTTTTAATTTCTCAACTTTTTGGATACTTCTTTCAGTTTTGGGATTTTTCAATATGTCGATTTGTCGTCATTTCGATTTTTGAACTCCTGGATTTTTTGATTTCTGGATTTTTTCTTTTTGGATTTTCAATTTTTGGTTAAACTTTAGACTTTTAAATTTTCCGACTGTTTTATGCTTCGATTTCCCAATTTTCAATTCTAAAATTCAATTTTTTTTATTTCTCGAGTTTTCAGTTGTTCTTTATTTCATTTTTCCAAATTTTTACATTTTCTATTTTCCAATTAGCAGTATTTTTTTTATTTTCGATTTTTAGATTTTTTGATTTCTCGATTTTTCAAATTCAGATGATTTTGTTTCAATTGATCAACTTTTCGATCCTCTGATTTTTCGATTTCTCGATGTCTCAATTTTTGAATTTTTCAATGTCTCGATTTCTCGATTTTTTAATTTTTGGCTTTTCGATTTTTCGATTTTACAATTTTTCGATTTTGCAGTTGTCCGATTTTTCATTTTTTGAGTTTTTTGAATTCTGGGGTTTCGATTTTCCGATTTATCGATTTTTCAGTTTTCGATTTTTAAATTTTAGATTTTTGAATTTTTATTTCTTGATTTTTTAATATTTGGATTTCTTGATTTTTTAATTTTTTTTGTTGTTCAATGTTTTAAGTTTTACATTTTTCAATTTCCCGATTTTTTCATTTTTCAGTTCTTTAGTATTATTTCTATTTTTGAATTTTTCAAATTTTGACGTTTCTAAATTGTCAGTTTTCCGATTACTGAAGTAATTTTTTTTTTATTTTCCAATTTCCAAAGTTTTTCGAATTTGCTTTTTAGCTTTTCGATGTCGCAATTTTGAAATTTTTTAATTTCTCAATTTTTTAAATATGTCTTCCAGTTTTGGGATTTTGAATTATTTCGATTTTTCGCCTTTTCAATTTGGTACTTTTTGGATTTTCCAATTTTTCGATGTTTCGAGTTTTCAGTTATCCGATTTTTCGATATTTCAGTTTTTTAAATTCTGGGGTTCCGATTTCTGGAATTGTTGATTTTTCAGTTTTTCGATTTTTAAATTGTAGATTTTTAAATTTTTATTTTTTGATTTTAGGATTTTTTGATGTTTGGATTTTTCGATTTTTATTTTTCAGTTCTTCAGTACATATTTGGATTTTTCAATTTTTCAAATTTTGACGTTGCTAAATTTTCAGTTTTCCGATTTCTTAATTAATCTATTTTTGATTTTCTCATTTCTCGACTTCTCCAAGTTTCGATATTTCAGTTCTTCAATTCCTCGATTTTTCAATTTTGCTTTTTCGGTTTTCGAATTCTCAATTTTCCAATTTTTTAATTTCTCAATTTTTGGATATTTCTTTCAATTTTGTGATTTTTCAATATTTCGATTCTTCGACTTCTCGATTTTTTGACATCTGGATTTTTCGATTTTATTATTTTTTGGATTTTCAGTTTTTCGTTTTTTAAACTTTAGAGGTTGCTATTTTTTTACTGTTTTATGTTTCGATTTCTCGATTTTTCAAAATTTCGATATTTTAAATTTTCAATTTCTAAAATTCTAGATTTTTCGAGTTTTCGAATTTTCAATTCTTCTTCTTTTGATTTTTCAATTTGCCGAATTTTAAAATTTTCAATTTTTCAATTTTTTGTGAACTGGTTTTATCGATTTTTCCATTTTTAACTTTTCGATTTATATTTCGAAACAACGAAAAATTGGGAAATACAAAAATTAAAAAATAAGTAATTGGAAAATCGAAAATTTAAAAATTCCGAAAATCAAAAAATTGAAATATAGAAGAACTGAAAACTCAAGAATTGAAAAACCTAAAATTTTAAAAATTGAAAAGTTGAAAAATTAAGAAATCGAAGTATAGAACAGTCGAAAAATGGAAAGTTTTAAAAACGAAAATTGAAAATCCAAAAAGTAAAAAGTCGAGAAATCGAAAAATCCAGAACTAAAAAAATCGAAAAGTCGAAATACTAAACAATCCCAAAACTGAAATATCGAAAATTGAAAAATAGAAAAATTGACGAATCGAAAAACTGAAAAATCGCAAAGCTGGACGAAATATCCAAAAAGTGGGAAATTAAAAAATTGAAAAATTGAGAAACCGAAAAGTCAAGAAAGCAAAGTCGAAAAATCACAAACTTAAAAAATCGCAATACTGAAAAATCAAAAACCTGAAAAATCTATAAACTAAAGAACTGAAAAATCGCAACTTTGGGAGGTCGAGAAATAGGAAAACAAAAAATAGATTAATTGAGAAATCGGAAAACTGAAAATCCGGAAACGCCAGAATTTGAAAAACTAAAAAATATTGGAGAAATGAAAAATACAAAAAACTAAAAATTTAAAATATTCATAAATTAAAATATCGTAAAATTGAAATCTAGGGAATCCAAAAATCAAAAAAATTAAAAAAATAAAAATTCGAAGATCTACAATTTAAAAATCTAAAATCTGAAAAATCAACAAATGGAGAAATCGAAACTCGAAAAAAAAAAATTGGAAAATAGGATAAATCAAAAATCGAAAAGCTTTGTTTTTTGTAACTTCAAAACGTCTGCAAGATTTCAAAGTATTCACTGCTGCAATTCTTGATTTATTCAACAAAATAAATTGACTTATTAATTAATTTTTTTGAGACACTCTGTATACGAAAATGTAAAAAATATGAATGCATGCTAAATACAAGTATAAACTGATCATATGTTGCACACTTAAGATAGGATTTGATCAAAAAATTAGCAGGCTTATGATAATTTTAAAACATCTCCAAGATTTCAAAGCATATCCTTACGGTACGTGAAGTCGTGGTTTCTTTGCATATATTTCGAAATCACCCTGTATAGTATCATTAAAATATAGTTCTGTGATGACATTCGAAATTGTTTTAAAATAAAATGAATTAAAATAAATATGATTGTTTTTTTTTTTGTGAAAAATACAACATATTATAAGATACCTACATTAACTATAAGTGAAACTTAAAGAACTAAATAAGGATTGCATCGACCGAATAACTACTTAAATTTTCTCATTTCTTCTTCAGCTTTAAAAAATGCTTGGTTTTCCACAAGCTTTTCAAGCGTTCCTTTCATAATTTCATCAAAACACGCTAATTCTCCACCATATTCTTTCGGCAAAACGAACGCAGGCACATATTTATGGAACTCTTGAAAATCGTCTTTAGCAGAATGTGCTCTAATCTGTAACTTACTATGAAATCATAACTATCTCCCTGGTAAATTGTGGTCTAACCTTTGGCAACAATTCGTTTTTGATAAACATTTTAAATAAATCCAACATTCGGTAAAATATATAGTTAGCATTCAGTATGTGAATTTCTCGTACTTTTAGAGGCACTCCTTCCTGGACGTATGCAAGTTCTGACAACATTGCTCTCATTTTGATGCACGTGAGGTGCATTAAACCAATCTGTAGAAAAAATACACAACGTCAAAATAAAATATATATGATGTATTATTTTCAAGTACCCCTTTCATGTCCATAACCAGAGTAACTTCATTTGGAGGATCATAAATTTGACTAAGATGTAGCAACATGTTACCCAGCTTGGTCACAGATATAACATCACAGTTCCGATAATTTGTATCAATCAGCTTTACCACAATAACTGCAGTGTTATTATCCATTCTTCTAGGAAGAATACAAAATCCCCTAAAATGATACGTAGCTAACGAAAAAAATTCTTTGTTACTTACGCTACACTTAAGATTTTTTTCATGTCTGTGTTCTCCAAGTCACAATCGTTGAAAATTTGCGGTGCTTCATTCTTCACCTTAAAATAATATTCGATTGTATTTCTAACAGAAGCAAGATCATTCGAGCACGACAGAAGAAATAAAACGATAAATTGTTCCTGAAGGGGAGGCAAAGACGTTGTTTTCAACCAGGTTTTAATAGCACTAATGTCACTTTCTGTGGTTCGTCCATCTTCAATGATAGTTTTTACGTTGAATTGAAAAGGTAAAGCCATTTTGCTTAAAAGGTGTAAAAAACCTCAAAACGCAAAAGTGTGGTCAAACTTAAAGAGTATTATCCTGGAAGAAATTCTATATTCAAGTGTAAATAAATATATAAGAATGGTTATAACTTACTCACTAAAAGCACTTCTCCACATCGCTTTAATAAATGTTATAAAATAAATCATCAAGTCATACCTCTATACTTGCACGTATGTGCAATTGGGGTGTGAACTAACAGATATTTATTAAAAATTGGAATAATCACAAAACATTTCACAAGTACTTCCTGTAACGTAATGTGTTATAAAATTTAATGGAATTGACGCAATACATTAGCTTAATTTATACAATACATGCAAACGCATTTATGAACCGATATCTTGTGCTAATCTTCCTTGCAGATAAGAAAAAATAGATTTTGGTGAGACATAAATAAGTAAAGGTCAGCCATATCAAAAGTGAATTAACATTTTTAATACTTTTTGTCTTCTATTAACTATCTTCATTTTTAAAAACTGGTTTAAAGTTATTTAATCAGAACTTTGCGGGCTCCTGAAGTAAGACCAATATCTTCATCTTTTTCGAAAAATTATAAAATTCTATGTTGCTAATTTTGTCCTTTGCTTCCCGTATTCCTAGTTTAAAGAATTTGATTAATGCACTACAAGACGATATAAAGTTCAACATTTCTCGATTTTTTTTTTCGATTTCTCAGTTTTCCTGTTTCAATGAAACGATTTCTCAAATTTGTGCTCTTCAATTTTACGATTTTTAAATACATATTTCGATTTTTCAATGTTTCAAATTTCTAAATTATCAGTTTTCCCATTTCTGAAGTAATCTTTTATTTTATTTTCCCATTTCTCGACTTCCCAAAGTTGCGATTTTTCATTTCATCGATTCTTCAAATTTTCGATTTTTCGAATTTTCGATTTTTGGACTCCTGGAATTTTTGGTTTCTCGATTTTTTACTTTTTGGATTTCCCAATTTTTTAATTCTAAAATTCCAAGTTTTTCGGTTTCTCGAGTTTTCAGTTATTCTTTACTTCAATTTTCCGAATTTTTAAATTTTCGATTTTCCAATAATTTTTCTATTTTAAAATTTCTCTCGATCCTCTGATTTTTCGATTTCTTGATGTATCAGTTTTTGAATTTTGCGATGTTTCGATTGTTGGATTTCTCGATTTTTCGATTATTTACTTTTCGGCTTAAAAATTTTTCGATTTTCCAATTTTACGATGTTACGTTTTTTCAGTTATCCGATTGTCAATTTTTCAGTTTTTCAATTTCTGGGGTTTCGATTTCTCGATTTGTCGATTTTTAAATTTTAGATTTTAGAATTTTTATTTTTTGACTTTTTGGTGTTTGGATTTCTCGATTTTTTAATTTTGCGATATATTAATTGTTCAGTGTTTTAAATTTTAGATTTTTCGATTTCTCGATTTTTTGATTTTTAAATTCTTCAGTATTTCTATTTTTCAATTTTTCAAATTTTGATGTTGCTAAAGTTTCAGTTTTCCGATTTCTCAGTTAATCTATTTTTGATTTTCCCATTTGTCGACTTTCCAAAGTTTCGATTTTTCAGTTCTTTAATTCCTTTATTTTTCGACTTTGTTTTTTTGGTTTTTCGATTTCTCAGTTTTCCCATTTTTAAATTTCTCAATTTTTGGATATTTCTTTCAGCTTTGGAATTTTTCAATATTTCGATTCTTCGACTTTTCGACTTTTCGACTTATCGATTTTTCAATTTTTCGACTGTTTTATATTTCGATTTATCAATTTTTCCGTTTTCAACTTTTCGATTTTTCGATTTTGGCCTATTTATATTTCGATCGAAAAATTGGAAAATTGAAAAATTAAAACATAAATTGGAAAATCGAAAATTTAAAAATGCCGAAAATTGAAAAATTGATATATAGAAGAACTGAAAACTCAAGAAATCGAAAAACCTAAAATTTTAAAAATTGAATCAAAGCTAAAATATCGAAAAGTTGGAAAATTAAGAAATCGAAGTATAAAACAGTAACAAAATTTAAAAATCTAAAGTTTTAAAACGATAAATTGAAAATCCAAAAAGTAAAAAATCGAGAAATCGAAAAACTCAGAACTCAAAAGGTCGAAAAGTCGAAATACCAAAAATACTTTTATAAAATTTTTCGATCTTCCAATTTTTCGCTTCCTCGATATATCGAATTCAAATGGTTTTAAGTTCTGATTGATCAACTTCTCGATCCTCTCAGTTTTCGGTTTCTCGATGTCTCAGTTTTTGAATTTCTCAATGTTTCGATTTTTGGATTTTTCGATTTTTCACTTTTGGGCTTTCCAATTTTTCGATATCCAATTTTTCAATGTTTCGATTTTTCAGTTATCAGATTTTTCAATTTTTCAGTTTTTCGATTTTTAAATTTTAGATTTTTGAATTTTTATTTTATTAATTTTTTGATATTTGGGTTGTGTTGATTTTTTAATTTTGCGATATTTTAGTTGTTCAGTGATTTAAATTTTAGATTTTTCGATTTCCGGATTTTTCGATTTTTCACTTCTTCAGTATTTCTATTTTTCAATTTTTCAAATTTTGACGTTCCTAAATTATCAGTTTTCCGATTTCTGAAGTAATCTTTTATTTTATTTTCCCATTTTTCGACTTCCCAAAGTTGCGATTTTTCATTTCATCAATTCTTCAATTTTTAGAATTTTCGAATTTTCGTTTTTTGGATTCCTGGAATTTTTGGTTTCTCGATTTTTTACTTTTTGGATTTTCAATTTTTCGTTAAACTTTAGATTTTCCAATTTTTCGACTGTTTTATACGTCGATTTTCCAATTTTTCAATTCTAAAATTCTAAGTTTTTCGGTTTCTCGAGTTTTCAGTTATTCTTGACTTCAATTTTTCAAATTTTTAAATTTTCGATTTTCCTCTGATTTGTCGATTTCTTGATGTATCATTTTTTGAATTTTTCAGTTATCCGATTTTTCAATTTTTCAGTTTTTCGATTTTTAAATTTTAGATTTTTTAATTTTTATTTTTTTTGATTTTTTGATTTCCCGATTTTTCGATTTTTCAGTATTTCTTTTTTTTAATTTTTCAAATTTTAACGTTTCTAAATTATCATTTTCCCGATTTCTGAAGTAATCTTTTTTTATTTTGCCATTTCTCGACTTCCCAAAGTTTCGATTTTTCTCTTTTTCAGTTCTTCAATTTTTCGATTTTGCGGATTTTGATTTTCCAATTTTTTGGGTATTTCTTTCAGTTTTGGAATTTTTCAATATTATGATTTTTCGACTATCCGATTTTTGGACTCCTGGTTTTTTTTACTTTTTGGATTTCCAATTTTTTGTTTAACTTTAGATTTTTCAATTTTTCGACAGTTTTATGCTTTGATTTACCAATTTTTCAGTTCTAAAATTCTAAGTTTTTCGATTTCTCGAGTTTTCAGTTATTCTTTACTTCAATTTTCCGAATTTTTAAATTTTCGATTTTCCAATAATTTTTCTATTTTAAAATTTCTTTCGATCCTCTGATTTTTCGATTTCTTGATGTATCAGTTTTTGAATTTTTCGATGTTTCGATTTTTGGATTTCTCGATTTTTCGATTATTTACTTTTCGGCTTAAAAATTTTTCGATTTTCCAATTTTACGATGTTACGATTTTTCAGTTATCCGATTGTCAATTTTTTAGTTTTTTAATTTCTGGGGTTTCGATTTCTCGATTTGTCGATTTTTTAATTTTGCGATATTTTAATTGTTCAGTGTTTTAAATTTTACATTTTTCATTTTCCCGATTTTTTTATTTTTTAGTTCTTCAGTATTTCTATTTTTCAATTTTTCAAATTTTGACGTTTCTAAATTATCAGTTTTCCGATTTCTGAAGTAATCTTTTTTTATTTTCCCATTTCTCGACTTCCCCAAGTTTCGACTTTTCAGTTCTTCGGTTCTTCAATTTTTCGAATCTTCAGGTTTTTGATTTTTCAATTTTTCGATTTTCGACTTTTCGATTTTTGGACTCCTAGATTTTGGGTTTCCCGATTTTTTTACTTTTTGGATTTTAAATTTTTCGACTGTTTTATACTCTGATTTCTCAACTTTCCGATTCTAAAATTCTCAATTGTTCGATGTCTCGACTTTTCAGTTCTTTATTTTTCAATTTTTTGATTTCTCGGTTGGTCAATTTTTCAATTTTTAACTTTTCTTCTCGGCTTTCGACTGCTCAATTTCTCGATCCACTGATTTTTCGATATCCCGATGTCTCAGTTTGTGAATTTTTCGATGTTTAGATATTTGGATTTCTCAATTTTTCGATTTTTTACTTTTGGGCTTTTCAATTTTTCGATGTTTCGATTTTTAGTTATCCGATTTGTCAATTTTTCAGTTTTTTAAATTCTGGATTTCTCGATTGGTCGACTTTTTAGTTTTTCGATTTTTTGATGTTTTGATGTTTGGATTTCTCGGTTTTTTAATTTTGCAATATTTTAATTTTTCAATGTTTTAAAGTTTAGATTTTTCGATTTCTCGATTTTTTGATTTTGCAAATTTTGACCTTCTAAATTTTCAGTTTTCTGATTTTTCAGTTAATCTATTTTTGATTTTTCCATTTCTCGATTGGTCAATTTTTCATTTTTAACTTTTTTCCTCGGCTTCCGACTCCTCAATTTTTCGATCCTCTGATTTTTCGATTTCTCGATGTCCCAATTTTTTAATTTTTCGAGATTTCGATATTTGGATTTCTCGATTTTTCGATGTCTCGATTTTTCAGTTATCTAATTTTTCAATTTTTTAAAAATTCTGAGGTTTCGATTTCCCGATCTGTCGATTTTTCAGTTTTTCGATTTTCAAATTTTAGATTTTCGAATTTTTACTTTCTGATTTTTTGATGTTTGAAATTCTGGATTTTTTAATTTTGCAATATTTTAATTGTCCAATGTTTTAAATTTTAGATTTTTCGATTTCTCGATTTTTTGATTTTTCAAATTCTGATGTTGCTAAATTTTCAATTTTCCGATTTCTCAGTTAATCTGTTTTGATTTTCCCATTTTTCGACTTCTCAAAGTTTAGATTTTTCAGTTCATTAATTCTTCGATTTTTCAACTCTGCTGTTTTGGTTTATCGATTTCTCAATTTTCCAATTTTTTAATTTCTCAAATTTTGATATTTCTTTCAGTTTTGGGATTTTTCAATATTTCGATTCTTCTACTTTTCGATTTTTTGACATTAAATTTTTCGATTTTTCGATATTTTATTTTTTGGATTTGCAATTTTTTGTTTTTTAAACTTTAGATTTTTCAATTTTTCAAATTTGCGGTATTTGAATGTTTCAATTTTTAAAATTCTACATTTTCAATTTTCCGAATTTTTAAATTTTGAATTTTTCAATTTTTTTAGATCTCGATTTATCGAGATTCGGACGTTTCGATGTTTTGATTGTTCAATCTCTCGATTTATCAATTTTTCCATTTTTAACTTTTCGATTTTTTGATTTTGGCATTTATGTTTCGAAACATCGAAAAATTGGAAAATCGAAAATTTAAAAATTCCGAAAATGAAAAACTAAAATATATGTAGAAGAACGGAAAAGTTAAAATATCGAAAAATTTAAAAATCTAAAATTTTAAAAACGAAAAATTGAAAATCCAAAAAGTAAAGAGTCGAGAAATCGAAAAATCCAGAACTCAAAAAGTCGAAGAGTCGAAATACTAAAAAACACCAAAAATGAAACATCGAAAAATTTAAAAATAGAAGAAAAATTGATGAATCGAAAAATGAAAAATCACAAAATTGAACGAAATATCCGAAAATTGGGAAATTAAAAACTTGAAACGATTTTTCGATTTCTCGAATTTTCAATTCTTCTATATTTTGATTTTTCAGTTTTCAATTTTTCAATTTTTTGAGATCTCGATTTATCGAGATTCGGATGTTTCGTTGTTTTGATCGTTAAATCTTCCGATTTATCAATTTTTCCATTTTTAAGTTTTCGATTTATCTATTTTGGCCTACTTATATTTCAAAACATCGACAAATTGGAAAATCGAAAAATTAAAAAATAAATTGGACAATTTAAAATTAAAAAATTCTGAAAATTGAAAAATTGAAATTCACATATGTAGGACTGGAAACTGAAGAAATTGAAAAAGCTAAAGTTTTAAAAATTGAAAAGTTAAAATATCGAAAAATTAAAAAATCAAAAGTTTTAAAAACAAAAAATTGAAAATCCAAAAAGTAAAAAGTCGAGAGATTGAAAACTCCAAAACTCAGAAAGTCGAAAAGTCGAAATACTAAAAAATACCAAAACTGAAACGTCGAAAAATTTAAAAATAGAAGATAAATTGATGAATCGAAAAACTGAAAAATCACAAAATTGAACGGAAAATCAACAAATTTGGAAATTAAAAGCTTCAAAATTGAAGAAAGCAGAAAAATTAAAAAATATTGAACAGAATAATCGAAAAATCTAAAATTTAAAACATTTGAAAACTAAAATATCGTAAAATTGAATAATGGAGAAATCCAAACATCAAAAATTCAAAAAAATAAAAATTCGAAAATCTAAAATTTAAAAATTGAACAACTCAAAAATCAACACATCGAGAAATTTAAACTCGAAAATTAAAAAAATTGGAAAATCGGATAAATCAAAAATTGAAACATGGAAAAATCGGAAACCTTAATTTTTTTGGAAGAATAAACAGAAATATTTTGATTAACAGTTTACTAGGCATATAGCAAATTTAAAATATTTGCAAGAATTCAAAGTATTCACTGTTCCAATTCTTGATTTATTCAATAAAATAAATTGGCTGATTCATTTTTTTTTTTTGAGGCACCCTGAATAAGCAAATCTGACAAAAAATGAATGCAATGCTAAAATAAAAGTATAAACTGATCATATTTTGCACATTTAAGATTCAGCAATATTTTGAGGTGACGTCATCAGTTTTTTAGGAGGGAACGAGCAAATACATTTTTATCAAAAATACTTATGATAACTTTAAAACATCTCCAAAATTTCAAAGCATATATTTCCACGTTACTACAGTACGCGAAGCCGTGGTTACAAATTTTTGATGTATTTCGAAATCACCCTGTATAGTATCATTCAAACATAGTTCTGCGCCGACATTCGAAATTGTTCTAAAATAAAATGAATTAAATTGAATATTATTGTTTTTTTTTCTGAAAAATACAACATATTATAAGATACCTGCACTAAATATAAGTGAAACTTAAACAACTAAATAAGGATTGCATCGACCGCACAACTACTTAAATTTTCTCAGTTCTTCTTCAGCTTTAAAAAATGGCTGGTTTTGAACCAGCTCTTCAAGCGTTTCTTTCATAATTTCATCAAAACAAGCTAATTCTCCCCCATATTCTTCCGGCAAAACAGACACTGGCACATATTTATGGAATTCTTGAAAATCGTTTTTAGCAGAGTGTGCTCTAATCTGTAACTCACTATGAAGTCATAATTATCTCCCTGGTAAATTGTGGTCTCACCTTTGTCAACAATTCGTTTTTGATAAACATTTTAAATAAGTCCAAAATTCGGTAAAATATATAGTTAGCATTCAGTATGTGAATTTCTCGTACTTTTAGAGGCACTCCTTCCTGGACGTACGCAAGTTCTGACAACATTGCTCTCATTTTAATGCACGTGAGATGCATTAAACCCATCTGTGGAAAAAATACTCAACGTGAAAATAAAATATATATGATGTATTATTTTCAAGTACCCCTTTCATGTCTATAACCAGAGTAACTTCATTTGGAGGATCATAAATCTGACTAAGATGTAGCAACATGTTACCCAGCTTGGCCACAGATATAACATCACAGTTGCGATAATTTGTATCATTCAGCTTTCCCACAATAACCACAGTGTTATTATCCATTCTTCTAGGAAGAATACAAAACCCCCTAAAATGATACGACGAAGCTAACGAAAAAAATTCTTTATTACTTACACTACACGTAAGATTTTTTTCATGTCCGTGTTCTCCAAGTCACAATTGTTGAAAATTTGCGGTGCTTCATTTTTGATTTTGAAGTAAGCTTCGATTGTAATCTTAACAGAAACAAGATCATTCGAGCACGCTAGAAGAAATAAAACGATGAAGTGTTCCTGAAGTGGAGGCAAAGACGTTGTTTGCAACCAAATTTTAATAGCACTAATGTCACTTTCTGTGATCCGTCCATCTTCAATGATAGTTTTTACGTTGAACTGAAACGGTAAAGTCATTTTCGCTAAAAACCGTAATTATTACATGTGCGTCAGTCTGTTGTTTATTATGCATGAGTTTTAATTGGAGAATGGTGTTTCTGTCAATTAAGGTAAGTATTTCAAGATCAACCAACAACTTGTTAATTTATGCAGTGTTCTGTCTTTGAGGTACGTGACGTCAATCGTGGAAATAATACCAATTTTTTCAAGTTTAACCTTGAAATGCCGCTCCTGGGTTACCGACCCGAATTTATAGTGTCAGATTCATATTGTAAAATATATAAAATATCTATTTATTGTGGGATTTTTGGAATGTCCGCACCAATTATTAAAAAAGTTTTAGATAAAAGTCCAAAATCGAAAAGCGTGGTCACCTTACGGCTTAATATGTTGGAAGAAATCCTCTGTTATTATCCGTCCACGATCTTTATATAGTAGGGTTGGCCATGAAAATCTAGTGAGTTTGTTGGTATTCAATGCAGAAGAATAAAAATTCCCTGAGCTTTTTTCGTTAGGTTATGTTTTATTAAACTAAAGGTTAAAAAATATGCCAGAAATATAAACATTGTTGCCGATACTTTCAGTTTTCAGTAACAATGACCAAGTTAACGGTATCCATTTCTTAGAAAGTATAAAACTTTACACTATTTAAAACAGTTATTAGGGTTTTTGTAAGTGTTTATTTCATATGTAAGGAACAAACACTAAAATTTCACTTAAACATTGTTTTTATATGAATGGGGGTTCTACATATGACTATTGTCGCATGCCACATTTAGCATCTTATCTTTAATTCTCAATCATCAGTTCGTTGTGTTTGCCCACTCTTCTTAGAAATGAAAATTTCGACCTTTGTGAACAGCCTATTTTTATATCTTCCAACTACTTTTTTCACTTTTCTAAGATTACTAAAATGGTTGGTAAAAGAGAACAACCTTGCTCTAGTGCTTTGATGGGTTTAGCTCTTCTGACATATTTTTCCGGCCTTAAATTGCATGATTTATCTATACAGCTATTATTAATGCTTACGTAAGTGCTCTTTTTTTGCTTTTACTAAGTACTACCAAACGCTTATTAATAAGAACGTTACGATACGCCTTCTCCAGGTCCATGAAGAGTTACAAAAAAAAAAAATAAAAATTCTTAAAATTTGGTGCAAAGTAGCAACGTGGATGATCCAACTAAAATTATACTTATTTTGTTGTACGTCAGGTCGTTTTTCACATACTACCTTGGTAAATTTAGAACGAAAGATGCGTAAAAATATCACCCCCCGACAAGCTAAAATTCACTCCCATTTCCATTATGTCCGAGGGGTAAACCGCCGACCATCAAGTGTATAATTGATTTCCTTTTGACAATGATTTCCTGCTGATTTCCCCCGATTTCTTTTGATTTCCTCTGATTTCCTTTAATTTCCTGTGATTTCCTTTGATTTCCTGTGATTTCCTTTGATTTCCTGTGATTTCCTCCTGATTTCCTATGATTTCCTGTGATTTCCTCTTGATTTCCTATGATTTCCGTTTGATTTCCTCAAAATTTGTTTACATAGTGTACTACAGGGCGATTGATAACTTTTTGTTAACTTGACTTTTTTGTTTTGCCGATAATGATGTTGAATTTAAACCTTTTTTTTCCAAGTGTTTACTAACGTACGGTGACTAGGTAAGCTGAAGTGCTTTCCCTTTAGACGAAAAAAATAAATAAATACAATCTATTGTGCTGCTAAGCAACAAACTGAAATGTTTAAGAAGAAAAATCTGATTTTACTAAAAAAAAAAACGCTACTCTAAAATCGAGGTTTTAGATGTCTAAACCAATAGAGTAAGTATACGTTCGAATTTTACACTTTCTTGGGTCAAATGTTTGTTCTAAAAGTGGACATATGTAAATATAGATTTTTTGCACATTCAGTCAGAAAACCTTATGGTCTATTTTAATTTTGAAATTAAAAATGTCTGGAGTGGATAACCCCACTTGATAAATTTTCAGAGGTAATTTTCCCCTTTAAAAGTGTTCATGGGCACCTAGAATTTTGCACAGTTTCTTACTTTAGTATTCTCTACGATATATACTTGTACAAATCTCGACCCAGGTTGAGGTTACATTATCACAAATTTTAATCACATCACTTAAAAACAACTAGAATTAACTCAAATATTTTTTCAATAATTTTTTTTTCAAAAACTAAACTGCCTGTTCTGAGTACCTGAGGTGGAGGTAGTTTCATTATATATTCATTTTCTTGGATCTCCCCCTGATGTTTAATGTTCGGAAACATAAAAGCATCCGGAATTTTTGGATTCCTTTTCAAAAAATCACAAAAAATTGGGTTAAGTGATAACACTTTACCAATGTAACATTTTTTGTTTTGTTTTTGAGTTGTTAATTGTACTAAATATAATCGTCTATATGTATTTAAGTTTGGTTTAGAACGATCAGTCTTACTATTTTCAGCCTTGAGATTCAAACGAGGATTCAAATCATCAGAATAATTGGAAGAATTCAAACTTTCAAACTTTCGGTGTCCGTGCTGTCATCATATTCGATACTACTTGGGTTCTCTAAATCAGATGAGTCACTTGATATATTATAGCGTCTTTTTTGTTTTCCAATTTGGACTGGTTTTTGAATTTGAGAGGCATCTTTATGTTGAAAGCAGGTATCTGTTTCTGAGTTAACTCTACTACTATTACATTTCTTATTTTGAATAAATCTTTTGAGACGATCCACACTGACGCGATCCTTTTCATTGTCTAACATCCAGCAAAGTGAAGAGTCTTTTATAAATTTTGTTGTATTATCTAAGCGTATTCTGACTAAATCACCTTTCTCAACAAAAATATCGTCAATATCAAAACTTCTAACGTGTATGTCTCTGTCAAATTTCTTAGATTCGTACGAAATTGTGCAAAGATCATTCAGTAAATCTTCATCTTGGTATTCTTGGTCAACTGGATCGTTTTCCAAACTTTGAAAACAGTTACGTTTCATGGCTATTTGAGAATTGTTGTAATTTTCATTGTGATCGCACTGTTCTTCGCTAAACATTTCATCTTCAACTTCGTCATTGCATTCATTGTCTTTACACGAAGGCAAAAATACATAGTTGAAATCTATCACTTTCATTCTTAAATCTTCAGTGTCACGCAGACAATCCCATAAAGCTGATTCTACGTGCTTTGTACATCTTTATCTGAAATGTTTCCTATAAGTCATCATTTTTCACAAAATCTCTCTTCATGATTAAACTTTTTTTCCTGATTTCTCTAGGAAAAACGAATTTTTTATCCAAATCGTTTTTAATGTTGTTTATAGTTTGCAGTCTGTCATTTCGATGCAACATATCTCTTATACCAAAATTAACAATTGTGCTAAAAGTTGAGGTCATTGATCTAAGGCTTCTAAACATACTCTCACAAGTTTGAGAGCTAAACTTCCAAGGCAAGAACATATCATCAGTAAGATTTTTGCACGACCTGAACTTATTGAATTTGATACCTCATGTCACAAACTCAATTTTTAAAAACTAATTTGGAGTGAAATTATAAATTTGGTTTGTAGGTGTAAAGCAATATAATGTATCATTTTTCATCGGAACTGCACTTCATTAACTACAACTATAAAATTTGTCAAGCTGAAATATCATGCTGTCAGTTAATGATATTATACTGGAATTTTCTATCATTATGCCCTTAAAAGGTTATTTAATCTCCACTTTTAAGATTAAATTGATATTTTCTTTCTTACGATGAATGCTATGACTTATGTCGTAGATGTTACGTTTATTAGTTCTAGAAAATATCTATTTTAACTGGATTTGCTATGATGATTTTGGATTTCCTTTGTTTTCTTGTTGATTTCTCGTTAATTTCTCATTAATTTCCTCTTGATTTCCTTTTGATTTCCTTTGATTTCCTTTGATTTCTTGTGATTTCCTGTGATTTCTTGTGATTTCCTGTGATTTCCTTTGATTTCCTTAGCGTGTACAATTGATTTCCTCTGCGGTTAACCCCTCGATTATGTCGCTATGAAAATCTGTATCATCACCGTCATTTTCAAATTCAGATTCTGAATCAGATTCACCTAGCGAAATAATGAAAGGAGGTATAGACTGGTACGAAAAATTTCCCATATTTTTTTCCCAATCTGCCAAAATAAGTTTTTCACAATGTTTACAAAAATTTTGCCACATGCTTGGAGTAAATTTAGAAAGCGCCTCAAGCCATAGATTATCCACCCTATTTTTTAATGGAGGTTGAGAATTTATATGCTTGTTGTAATATTCCTTACAAAATCCCCACGTCGCATTATATTGACAATGGTACGGAGGTAATCGAAGAACTTCATGGCCACTTTCTCTTAATGTCTCGCCTACCAAATATTTTTTTTTTCTATTGTTTCTGAAGGGTTTAATCAAATCCCACAACTGTTCCTTCGAAATTTTTTTGTCAAATTCAACACTATGTTTAAAGAGCCATTCCTGCATTTCACATATTTTACTAGAAAAAGTGGGTGGTTTTTCCAACTGAACCGAATGATACGGTGCATTGTCTAAAACCACCACACATTTTTGGTTCGACTTTGCCAAAGCAGGAATGAGCTGACTAACCAACCAATTTTGAAAAATTGTCCCGTCCATCGTTTTATGATAGTTTCTATCGTTATTTTTTGAATTTAAAAAATTGTTACCACCATCCAAGAACCCCATTGAACAACCGGCGTGGAGAATAGTCAACCTTCACTTTTAATTTTGGTGGGATTGCTTTTTAGATCAGTATCGTGCACCCGGCGACGAATGGACCAACCATTTTGATAGATCCATGTTTCATCCAAATACACGAAAGTCAAATTTTCACAAGAATTTAGAAACTGTAAATATGTTCTCAAAAAAGTAATTTTGGCTGCAAAGACATGTTTTTGTTCACATAGAATTTTGCAATCATTTACTTCCCTGTGTTTATAACCCACTGTCATGCATTGGTATCTCTGAAAAGGACGCAACAATGACGAGATCTAAGTCCAAATCCATAAAGATTGTATGCAATCAGTGCAATAACAATATGTCTTGCCTTAAAGATCTCAGAACACCTATTACATCTCTTCAGCATGAGTTGTCATCTTCAATTAACCAACTTAAAACTGAGTTTCAGTCCCAACTTGATGACATTAACGTCAAACTCACCCAGCCATCACAACAATGTCAGTCCACACCTGTACTGGAAGAAGTTGTCCAAGAAGTATTGGAACGCCAGAAACGTGCCAAAAATATTGTTATATTTAATTTACCTGAGCAGTCCAATAATTCTTCTGACGAGATAAGAAAGGAAAATGATAATCTTCTAGTTAAAAATGTTTTGAACATTACCAACCCCGATGTCGATTTCGAAAATTTCAGTGTAGGTAGAATGGGTAGATTTAATGAATCTCGCAATCGACCCATTAAGGTGTTTTTTAAGAACGAATCTGACGTTTTCAGTGTAGTCCGGAGTTCTAAAAATCTCAAAAACAATCTGCGGTTCAAAAACGTCAATATTTCTTTTGATAGGACACCGAAGCAATCAGAATTATATAATCAACTTAAGACAGAGAGGCGAATCTAATCTAAAAATTCGATATTACAATGGCACTCCTAAAATTATACGTTTAAACTGAAAGCGCCACCCAGTTCCACTACTCCTCTCAATTGTTTTTACCAAAATGTCCAAGGTTTGCGCTCATAAGTTAACTATTTTTATAACAATATAAATATATGTGCAATTATAATTTTATAGCTTTAAGTGAAACCTGGTTAAGCGACGAAATTCAGAATAGTGAAGTTTTTCCTGATAACTTTGTTGTCTTTAGAAAGGATAGGAATCAACAGTTGACGCATGTTTCAAGGGGCGGTGGAGTTCTTTTCGCTGCGGAAAGTAAATATAGGTGTTCTCAAAAAGCTTTTGATCAAATTGACTATTACATTCTTCTTAACAAATTACAGTCGTGCGGCTTCACTCAGTCCTTATTATCACTGCTCGAATCTTATTTACTCAACAGAGTACAATTTGTCAGATAGGTACTGTAACTTTTACTCGTCAAGCTTTTCTCCAACCTCTGGGATACCCCAAGGGTCAAACTTAGGCCCACTTTTATTTCGCATATTCATCAATGATATAGTTGATGATATCTCTTGTGGTAAATTGTTATTCGCCGATGATATGAAACTTTACCTTGAAATACGTGCTCCTGGTGACTCTCTCACTTTGCAAAATTTTCTTGACATCATCTCAAACTGGTGTGCACAAAATCGCTTAACCCTTAACGTATCCAAATGATATGTAATGACTTTCTCGAGAAAATCTAAATTATTACTACATGATTATTCGTTAAATGGAGAGTTTATAAATCGTGTTGATTCAATCAAGGACCTCGGTGTTCTATTTGATTAAAAATTCTATTTCAAGGATCACATTTCTGATACTTTGGGCGTGGCTTACAAAACTTATGGTTTCATTTATAGGAATTGCAAAGATTTCACCGATGCATCTGTTCTGCTACTCCTTTATGCATCATTGATTAGATCCAGGCTGGAATACTGTGCATTGATATGGTACCCTATATACAATATTCATAAAGATCACATTGAATCGTTGCAAAGGAAATTTCTTAAATTCATTTCTTATGTTGCTGATGGTGTTTATCCCCCTATTGGTCTTGATCATTCGCTTCTTTTGGCAAGATTTAACTTAACAACCTTAAATACCAGACATGCTATAAGTGTTATTCGCTTCCTTTACAATCTTGTCAACTACCGAATAGACTGCATTTATCTTTTAGATAAACTTAGTTTTTTAGTGCCTTGCATGTGCGCAAGGAACTCACGTACTTTTTATTCTGCACCTAAAAAAACTAATGTTTTAGTTAAGTCACCGATAGCGCTGATGATGGATTTATTTAATAGCTTAAACAGTGTATGTGATATTTATTTTGAATCCATTTACAGAATTTCGGAAATTGTTATTACGGTTTTTGAGAAATAACTTTTTCTTTTTTACTTTCCCTTGTTTCTTTTTCTCTCTACATTTTTTTTTCTGGTTAAATAAGTTTAATTTTAAGTTTATGCCTACATTCCTTGTTAGAATTAAGTATTTCATTGTTTCCAGTAATTGGGTGTAATTTGCCTGTTGGAAATAAATGATTAATATTATTATTATTATTAATAATAATTTTATTATCATTATTTCCTCTTTAGCACCTCCTTTCTTTTCTTCTCTTTCTGCCCCCTGACATGTAGAACTAAATTTTCTTGTCATCTTCTCTTTCGTCTTTTTCCGCTGTTTTATTTCTCCCATTGTTTCTAGCAAGACTATGATATCAAAATTCGCTACATATTAATAAAAATTTTCTTCTATGTTCAAAAAAGGATTTTCGCTTTCTTCCCGTTCTCTTTAACGATTTCATTGTTTTCTTAATGTTTGAAATCTGGTCAATAATCATGATTATTGTTTGTTTCAATTTAGATTAAAATAAGATAAAATCCTAAACCTTAACTTTGGTGATATTTTCAAGTGCTGGAAAGCTTCCAAAAACCTAATCTATTTGTATATATATGACCGCACATTGTGTCAAGTTCACTAGTAACGGAAACAATGTTCTCTACGACACTTGGTGGTGCTATTTTGGTGCTTCAAATAGGTTACCTGGTAAGGTTTATTCACAATTTGTCCAATTACTGTAAAAAAATTGTATAGTTAGGAGACCCAATCGTCCAGCTTCCAAATGGCCAGATAAGTGGATTTCAGACCACAACCCTAGAAAACAAAACGGTGTACGGTTTTCTGGGAATACCATACGCTGCCCCACCAATCGGAGAACTTCGTTTTAAAGTAAAATAAGTAAGAATTTATGGTCAGTTCTATAAAAATTTAAATTGCAGGCACCTCAACCAGCTGCGGACTGGGATGGCGTTCTAGAGACGAAAAAGTATTCTAAAACGTGTTTCCAGATATCTAGGAACAATGACAACGAATCTGAAGACTGTCTTTATATTAACGTATTTACTCCGGAAGTAAGAAAGAACCCTAAACCTTTCGTTGTTATTAAAAAATTAATGTTGATAGCTACCAAGTGAAGACAATGATGTTTCCTTGCCGGTGATGCTATACATACATGGTGGAGGTTTCGGCGGCGGTAATGGCGGTATATATCCTGATCTTTTCATCAATAACGGAGTTGTAATAGCCTCCATTAACTACAGACTGGGGATTTTTGGTAACGATTTATCTCGCACTATAGAAAACTGATCATCTAATACAAACATTTAGGTTTTATTTCAACACAGGATGAAGTAATTCCCGGCAATTTTGGCCTTAAAGATCAACGATTTGCTATCCAGTGGGTTCACGAGAATATACATCTCTTTGGGGGCAATCCTGATATGGTTACTATTTTCGGTCAAAGTGCAGGCTCGGCCTCATGTGCCTATCAGCTCCTTAACCAGGACTCAAATGGTGCCCTATTTTATTCTTAAATGTAGTATGTCTTACTAATAATATTGTTCACAGGACTATTTCAGGCAGCTATTTTGGAAAGTGGCAGTTCATTGAGCCCATGGGCTTTCCAAAGGAGATCCAAAGCAATTGCTTTCAAAACCGCTTCCTTTTTGGAACCTAGTTTTGAAAACAGTACCGATTCGCAAGCTTTGTTAGATTACCTGCTTACACTAGATGCTAGAGATATAGACAGTGCTGCCGAACAATACCACAATTATGTAGATAGTGCTTCTATAAAACATACACAAACACTTGTAACTCATTTTTATAGGAATATGGACCTGAAGATATCGAGATCTCGCAAGGTTTCTACTGGGCGCCAGTCGTTGAAGTGAAAAATCCAGACGCTTTTCTTACAAGGAAAATGTATGGGTTGATACAAGCAGGGAACGTTGTCCGAGTACCCATCCTTATTGGATTTACGTCTGAAGAAGGCTTGGCTTTTAATGGGGGTTTGTGCACTAATAATATTGTTTGATGGTGTTTATGAGCCTTGTTTCTAACAGACGCAAACGCATTGCTCTATACAATGTCAGCTTACGATGAAAATCTAGCTTGGATTGTACCTAACGATATGGCGATTTTTGACGAAACGCAACGCACTGAAATGGGTGGGTTGATTCGCGATTTGTACACTGGTGGCGAACCATTGGCGGAGCATTTGGGTGATGGCGTTAGAGTGAGTACCTGCGTAGTTACTGATTCCAATAATTTTTCCTTTAAGTATTCCAGTGATACGTCTTTCACTAGATCAATTATCAAACACGCCGAATTGTTTTCTCAAGTGGCAGAAACTTACTTCTATGTGTTTTCCTATAGTGGTCAGATAGGTGGTAACTACGCACATTACGATGGAGCTGAAAGCGTAGGTCATAATGCAGAAATACCTTACTTGTTCTGTACTGGTAATGGGTGCGATGGTAGCCAGTACCCAGAAGCCGACGTAGTTACAAGACAACGTCTTATTAAAATTTGGACGGACTTCGCCAAATATCGGTACCAATAACGATGTTTTAATGATAAATGTTTTTAATGGTGTTTTGCAGAAACCCAACCCCAGAACCGTCAGAGTTACTACAGAATATTACATGGCCTCTGGTGTCCGCAGATGGTAGCGATTTTTACTATCTAGACATTGACGAAAATCTGGAAATCAAAAATCATCCCAAAGAAGATACTTACAGTAGATGGACTGAACTATACGATAGCTTGGATTACAATGATTTTGACACCTATTAAAAAATGTGATTTGGCCTTTTTTGTTTGATACAGTTTAAATAAACTAGAGCATTTTCATTCCAGAGTTTAATTTATTATCAATAGCCCTTCATTTTTTAGGCATTTTCCTGATCTCCCCATATATTCATAATTAGAGGAATCATATAAGACGGGTCGTCAGTCTTTAATTCCAAGAATATCGCAGGAAAAATACGAAAACCTATACCTAAACAATGGTATTGATACATCACAACTCAAGAAACAAGTGGCGTTTCCAAAGAAGAAAAACATTGGATATCTGATGCAAAGACACATCAAACTGTCACAATAGTGATAAACCCAATGATAAAGTATCTTTTCCTAATCAAGAAAAAATTGAATTTCTAAACTTGCCTCGCAAGCGCTGCACACAGATAACAAATTAAAACACTCATCTAATACAAATCAACTTATTATTAAGTTATTTATAGTATGTGTGAGTAAGTACTGTGCTTAGTAACATAGTAACAACCAGAATGCTTTCCAAAACGCTGAGTACTGCAATTTTTATTTTTCAAATAAGTTGTTCGGTAATTTTCAAGTATAAAAAAATGTAGCGTTTCAAAAAATATTTGGTAGTTAGGTGATCCCATGGTGGAACTCCCCAATGGGCAAATAAGTGGACGCGAGGCTGCAACCGCCGAAAATATACCATACTACATTTTCGAGGGAGTACCATATGCGGCTCCACCAGTTGGAGAATTACGATTCAAGGTAAAAAAGCTACGTTATTTTAAATAAAAAATTAATTGGTTCCAGGCACCACAACCTGTCGCCACCTGGGAAGGTGTTCTAGATACAAAAAATATTTCCACAACTTGCTTTCAAACATCTAGTACAACGACAATGAATCAGAAGATTGCCTTTTCATAAACATATATACACCAGAAGTAAGTGCAAAAATCCACATACTTTCACATTTCAAATTTATTTGAACAGCTTCCCAGTGAAGGCAGCAGTGGTACTTTACCTGTAATGTTCTTCATTCATGGTGGAGGTTTCCTCGATGGTAGTGCTGTCGGATTGGGACCTGATCTGTTTATAAACAATGGGGTTATTCTAATCACTATCAACTACCGGTTAGGATTCTTTGGTATTCAATTTATTTCTATTGTACAACTCCTCGTTAAACTTGTTTAATAAAACTGTTTAGGGTTTGTCTCGACTGAAGATGAAGTAATTCCCGGAAACACCGGTCTTAAAGACCAGCGATTCGCAATCCAGTGAGCCCACGGCAACATACACCTTTTCGGAGGCGATCCCAATCAAATCACCATTTTTGGGCAAAGCGCAGGGTCGGCTTCTTGTGGCTATCAACTTCTGAACCAAGACTCAAATGGTGATTCCTTTATTACTTAAATTCATGTTCACATATTTAGTATCCACGTTTTAGGACTATTCCAAGCGGCAATTTTAGAAAGTGGTAGTTTTTTGAGTCCATGGGCTTATCAAAGAGAGCCCGACAAATCTCTTTCGCTACTGCTGCTTTCTTGAACTCCTCTTTCGCCGACAGTGACGATTCGCAAGCTCTTCTAGATTACCTACTAACGGTTGATGCTAGAACTTTAGACTCAGCGGCTGAACAATATCGCACTTGGGTAACACGTTCCAATCATAGTACCTGATCTTGAAACTCAACGGGAAAACTTTTAGGAATGGGCAAACAACGGTGGGAAGATCTTGAAATTTCTCAAGGTTTTTACTGGGCACCGATCGTGGAAGTGAAAAACCCGGATGCTTTTCTCACTAGAAAAATGTATGGTTTGTTACAAGCCGGTAGTGTTCTCCAAGTACCTATTTTGGTTGGAGTAACATCTGAAGAAGGTCTACTTTTCGACCAAGGTAGTTTTCAAAATTTTTCGCCGGTGGTACTGATTTCGTTCGTTTTAGATGCGCAAGGTCTTCAAAACAGAATGGCGGCATATGACCAAAACCTAGGTTGGTTTGTACCCAATGATTTGGAAATTACGGACCAAAATCAACGCACCCAAATGGGTAGCGCAATTCGAGATTTATACACCGGAGGTGAACCATTAGCAAATCATTTGGGTGACGCTGTTAGAGTGAGTGGACAGCATAATAACATATACAGGTTAATCTTTCTTTGCAGTATTCCAGTGATACTTCCTTCACTAGATCGGTCATAAAACACGCTGAACTTTTCTCCAAAGTAGCGGAAACTTACTTCTACACGTTTTCTTACGATGGTCAAATGGGCGGTGGAAACATACACTATGATGGTGCTGAGAGTGTAGGACATAGCGAAGAATTGGGTTATTTGTTCTGCAGTGGCGATGGATGTAATGGTAATAATTTCCCAGAAGCTGATAGAGTGACGAGACAGCGTCTTATCAAATTGTGGACCGATTTTGCTAAATATCGGTAAGATAAATCCTTGTGACGCTAGATATATGCAAACTGTATGTTTTAGAAACCCAACTCCAGAAGCATCAGAATTACCACAAAATATTATATGGCCTGCAGTCTCAACAGATAATGGAGATTTTTACTATGTTGATATTAATGAAAACTTAGAAATTAAAAATCATCCGAAAGAAGCTACTTATGATGCTTGGGTTGAACTTTACAATAGCTTGGGCTATGATGATTTCGATACCTACTAGTTACAAAGTGTGTTCCTAAAATTTTGTTTGGTTAACTTTCAACATTGTATAGACAAATACATTATATTTGATGTTAGTTTGTAATGTGATTTTAGCTAAATCTCTATTCTAAAATAAATAAAGAATATGCAACCGAAAATCCTGCAGAAATTTGTGAAACATCTATAATCTCAATTATTATTATTATTATTATTATTACATACATAGTGCAGACTGAGACTAATCTATTAGTCTGCAGAGTTAACATAATATAATTGGTCTTTTTAATAATAAAGAAAACAAAATTCAAAATTTAAGCCTACATAAAAATACAAATTAAATTTAAAGAAAGGTAACTTCTGAAGCTAATAAATTTCATAAGTGTAAATTTGCGTGTTGGTCGTATCGGTTCTTAAAAATGTTAGTGGACTGACGTTGATGACTTGTTCGGGAAGATTGTTCCAAATCTGGAATACTCTGTTTAACAGGAAGTTTTGGCGGACCGTAGTTTTAAAGTTTTGTTTTTTAAGCTTTAGGGAGTGACCTCGAAATCGTGTGTCTTGGTTTACTTGGAAAAAGTCAGCTGCCTGGATGGGAAAACGACCAGTGAAAATCTTGAATGTCATGATAATGTCTCCTCTCTGTTTTCTTTGTGCGAAAGTGGTTAAATTCCATGCTCTGAGTCTCTCTTCAAATAGTGGCCTGATATTTCCATATGGTAGTCTGGTTGCTCGACGTAGAGTAAGCTCTAAGCGGTTCCTATCGCTTATACGATCACAATTCCAGATCGGTCCGCCGAATTCTAAAATGGGTTGAATATAAGTTGTGTAGATCTTCTTAGCTGAATTCGTCGAAATAAGTTGGAAGGCCTTGTTGATCAAATTTTAATATAACATCTTGTTCGCTCGATGACAAATTTTTTCGTTTAACAAAACGGTTAACATCTGTTTAAATATAATTGTTTCCAAAACTTTACAGATAATACATGTTAAGCTTATTTGTCGATAATTTTTGGGAGAGAACTTATCGCCTTTTTTGTAGATAGGTGTCACATTTACAGTTAACCACTGAGGGGGTAAAATACTTTCTTCAAAAGAGGATTTGGCGATTAAGTATATGGGGTATACAATTTCGTCTAAACATGCGGCAATCAGTTGGCATGTGATATTTTCGGGCCCTGGGGCACTTTTCCTTCTAGCTATTTCCTCTAGAGTTGCTTTTATGTTTTCTTCGGTAATAGATATGGTTGACAAAAAGTTTTTGTGATGTATAGATGATTGAATAAAGGGGCCAAACGTTTCTTTACTATAGTTGTGGTAAAATTCGTCCGCAAGAATATCGGCCGTTTATTGGTTAGACGTACAAAGTGAACCGTCAGGTTTTCGTAGTAAAGGAATTCCCACTTTTGCTGAAAACATTGATCTAATATATTTGTAAAACTTTTTCGGAGACTCCGTCTCTGTTAAGTTGTTTTCGAAGAGTTGCCTTGCTTTTTTCAATTCTGTAGTGACATGATTTGAGAATATTCTATGTTCACGATACCTATCTTCTGACGAATTGTTTTTATAACGAGCCCAAAGTTGACGTTTATGTTTGATTAACTGAAGTAGACGATTGATTGTCAATCCATGGTTTGTTAGGAATTAGTTTAATTTCTTTAACATATGTATGGTTGTTGACAGAGGCCGATAGTTTAGATTGAAATACTTCCCACATTTCGCAAGTGTTTGCAGTTTAAAACATTGAATTCCAGTTAAAATTGGCAAGATCCCGTCTAACGTTTCCATAGTTTGTGTGTTTAATTTTTTTGACCAACTTCTTTGTTGGGTTAACATAAATTTGAAGGTTTGACGATATAACAAGATGGTCCGATTTGCCAAAAGGGGGGAGGTATTCTATTTTAGTAAGCAAATCGGGGTCATTTGCAAAAATTAGATGAGTTTGTGAGGGAGTTTGATTTTGATGAATTCTTGTTGGTTCTGTTACTGGTTGAGTTAAATTTCCTTCGTGTATTGAATCGAGAATAATTTCGTTGTAGGGTGAATGAGGTTGTAGAGGCCAGGATAGATAATACATGTTGAAGTCACCAGCAATTATTACATTTTTGTTGGAGAGTGAAAAATTTTTTATGCTATTGAATAGAGAAAAATCCATGTCGGGTATTGGTACAAAAAAAGGTCTGTAAATGCAGCAAATTGACAAACTGAATTTGGAAGAGAGAAAATTTACAGCTAATGATTCACATCCAGTGGGCGTGTCAAAAGAAATTATTGAAATTTGAAAAGTTGTAGATATTTCTTCATCAACAAAGATGCAAATCCCGCCCCCTCTGCCATTGTCGCGATCTTTGCGATATAGCGAGTACCCTTTTAAGGATATGATAGAATCGGGAATGTTTAAAGACAACCAACATTATTATTTTCGGTTTATTAAG